TGTATTTTTTGCTGTAACAAAGATCCTCCCAAAGATGATGCAAAACACAGCCTCGGCATTAAGTAAGTTAAAAGGCTGAGCGGGAATATATATGTGTATGATATACATATGTGTATCATATGTGTATGATATATATACATATATATGTGTATGTATTATACATATAATCTTTATATATATATCTTTTTATATATGTATATGAAATTAGACATATAATATCTATAGTTTAAGCTTTTAGAAGTTAGGAAACATAGCTCACAATTCTCTTGTCACCCCATAGAGGTGAAAGCAGATCTATGTATATCATAATGGCTTTTTTTTTTTTAAATGAATAATTCCTGGGGTGCCTGGGTAGCTCAGTTGGTTAAGCATCAGACTTTGGCTCAGCTCAGGTCATGATCTCAAAGACCATGAGTTTGAGCCCCGCATTAGGCTCTGTGCTAACAGCTCAAAGCCTGGAAGCTTTGAAGACACCTCAAAGCTTTCTGTCTCTCTCTCTCTCTCTCTCTCTCTCTCTCTCTCTCTGTGTCTCTCTCTCTGTCTGTCTGTCTGTCTCTCTCTGCCCCTCTCCTGCTTATACTCTCTCTCTATCTCTCTGTCAAAAATAAATAAACATTAAAACATTTAAATAAAAAAATAAATGTGTAATCCTTGATTCTGTCTTTTTGATTTGAACTGAGCATCAAAATCATGTGGGGGTCCTCTTTTCAAGTATATACTCAGTGATGCAAGTAGAGGTTAACCTGAGTTCCATAAATGGAATTTATAGATTCAGAGGTTTCCCAGTTCTCAAAAAGATCCATTCCTAAAGGCTGACAACCACTGAGCTACCCATAGATATCTAGATTGTAGGTTTCCTCTGCTCAGAGGAAGGGCTGGGGTGAGGAATCAGGAAGGTGTGGGTGATGGGTTGGTAATTTTTGACAACAAAGGGTGACTATTTGGTACTAATATGCCCACCTCATCAGAAGGTGGCATTACTCATCAGAACTCACCTATCTCTCCTTAGCAGCCCAACTACTTCACACCAGGTTTATGGGTGGGAGAGAAAAATCTGAGACTGGGTCTGAATTTGTGAGAGACTACATCTTGCATGCTATGAGGGAGGAAGAAACTGGAAGGTTTAGAATTTCACTGTCTCGACATTTTGACTCCCCAGCACATCCCCAAAGAGGGCCCAAAGGCCTTCTAGACATGAACCATGTGTTGGTCACAGCCAGGCCAGGACACAGGCGGCGCAGAAACCCTCCTGTCTACATCATTCATCTCGCAATAATGACTTACTGCTGTATGATACCTCGTATATCAATGTCTTGTGTTAGTATTAAGTGTTATTTTATTATTTTACCTTTGGGTGTACATACTAGCCTCAACCAGACTTAAGGGTGCTAGAAATCAAAACCCTTGTCAAATATTGATCATGATGCTACACACATAGTTGGTACTTAATTACTTTTTTCAGATGAACAAATGACAATGCATTAAATAACTAAGAAGCTGTATCTGGCACTTGCTCCAATTTAAAGAGCCAAGGAAAGGCCTGTCTCTTAAGTGGAGATGATTATGAAACCTCTGTTTATACAAATGAAAGCTTTTCAGTTTTGAAATTCTATGACCATGGATTGAGGGTTTTATAGGACCATAACATATCTATGCCGTCCTTGATACTTTACAAAAGTGCTTGCACCTCTGTTCTCAGCAACTGTGTACTATTTTCAAATGTAGAGGGACTCTGAGGGGTTCTCTGGTCTATTCCAACTCTCCTTGGGGGCAACTCGAACAATTTAGGTTGGTTTCCAGAGGAATATGTTCCCTAGCTCCCTTCAGATTAGGATCTGATAGTCTCCTCAGTTCCTGAGTCCTCTTCTTGCTACTTAAATCTGTCTGTTCTGGTTCTATCTTAATAGTCATTTAGATGAGACCTGGGGAGGTAGTGTTTTCCTGGTGAAACCTGGAGGAATACTTCACTGATCTTTCCCTTCTTTCATGAAGACTGGAGAACCACTTAGCAGTGAAAGAGTCAGGTTAATCTACTTTAGTTTGTAGGGCACCAGCGAATGGCAGCCTGGCAATGGCAAATGCAAATATCTCACTGATGTTACTATTTGGTTTGAATATAGAACAAGGGTAGAAAGACGTCCAATAGAGACGAGAGTCAACTTTGAATGACTCTACTTCAATGATAATCCTCCAAGGAGCTAGAAGGGTCAGGCTGGTAGGGTTCCAAAGACCTGCTGAATCATGAAGATTTTATAACCGCATTGTGTCAAAGGGGAGAGTGATATTTCTTAATATGACAAATACTACTCATAAATCTCAGGACAGCACACAATGGCAAAAGGGGAAATATTTCAAGGCTGAGGCTAGAATCACAAACATAACATGTGACTAGCTATGGACAGCAATAATCTTTCTCTTGGGGAAGAGGAAAGGGGGTGATTCCCTTCAGACCAGGGCCAGCCTCATATGGAGACTAGTAACAAATGTCTAGCCTGACTGCTCATTATCACCCTGGCTGCCACAGTAGTCATTTCCAGGTATTCCCTCCTCTGGATTGTCATGGAAGGACACTGTTAGAATGTAGAAAGAGTTGACAAATGGACCCAGTGATATCCATTTCCATATTCATTCATACTGGTATTCAAGAAATTAGCAGAGAGCATTCCTCAAGGAAATAAACCAGGAGAATTTAATAGGACAGAAAATATGGAGAGTAAGGGACACAATTTGGGAAAGAGGGTTGAGATGCAGTCTTGAAGACACTGGATTTGGAGCAGAACAAAAGGAAGCATGAACGTTAAAGTTTGAAGGTGACCACATCAGGGACACCCAATGATGGTTCTGTGATGCCGACATTTTCCCCTGAAGACTCTGTTGGGAGTTTCTCCAATTAAATGAACAGAAACACAGAAGAGTCTGTGGCTGACTCAAGGCAGCTTGTCTCCTCCTCTCTTCTCTTTGTCACCTGTGTGACTCCTCTGTTGACCCTAGCCATTTCTCTCTAAGGGATTCAAGTTACTAGATTGACCAGGGTACACAGAGAAGGGTCAGCAGAAACCCCTAGATTATGAAAGCACAAAAATACCTTAAGACCTCTGTTGTACAGTATCTGCCTTGCTGATTAGTTCATGGATATGATGCACATTATCTAACTATCTGCTTCCAAAATTACCTAAAATCCGTATGGCTCCTTAGCAAGGTCACAAATGCCAGACATCACCATTACAACTATTTGGAAGAAATCCAACTTGACTTCTATGTGGAAAATGGAACCTGAAAGAGGTAGCAAAGCTTGTATGGTTGTAGGAAAACTCCTACATGAACTCACAGAGCCATGAAAAAGGTATTTGATATATGTGTTTGGCTCCAAATAAGAGATACTTCCTAGACTCTCCCTTTATATTTTAGTAACATCTAGCTCAGTCACTTGTCCCAAATCACTTCATTTTCTTAAGTCATATTTTGGCTTATTAGCATACAGATGGGGATTCTGGGCTTTTTTTTTTTTAAGTGAGAATTCTCACTTTGCTATGTTAATCAAGCTGAGTGACATCTTTTTGGTTGCCTGGTGAATTATGAAACCAGACCGAGCCAAAATTTTGCACTTATTGTACTAAAAAGCAATAAGGAGTGACTTAGCCTTGGATTTAAGTCTAGCTGTCCCATTTTTGAGCTTGGTAGCCCCAGGAAAATAGCTTAGCCTCTCTGAGCTTTTTGTTTTCTTCAAAAATCAGGATTACAGTTGTCATCTAAAGAAGTTTCTGTGAATTAAATGAACTCAGATTAGAGGACCAAGCTCAGCACAGTAGATAGTGCCATTAAAAAGCAGAAATATTGCCTGCATGGATATCTAAGATTGTTAATGGGAAATTGGGAAGGTGAGGAGGTGGTCTAACCAAACAAAGGTGGTGGAGGGATCCTTGGGAGGTGGGACTCATTTAATACACACTTTTCCCCCTGAACTCTAAGTTAGGTCAGAATTTATGTATCTTTGTCAATTAATCATCAGTATTTCACTCAGTACATAGTAAAAGTGAAAGAATATTTTTTTTTTCTGGGGGCAGGGCACACAGAGGGGCAGCATGAATGGACTGAGTCACTTTTCCAAATTGGTAATCATCTGAGCTTTAAGACAATGGAAGGATTAGGATTAGAAGAAAGTTTGTGTACTTGAAGAGTCTTCATATCCTCCCTCCGGATGCCCCCTGCTTTTTTAATGCTATTTGCTTTGCAGAATCTGAGACCTCCTTCTGAACTCCTGACTAATGTGGAAATGCATTTGTAAATATTGAGGGCTGAGCTAGGACTTTGAATGATTAGTGCGTGTGTGCAATGCCAAGGTCGCAGACCTCCCCTTTCATCCAAGTCTTGGATAACCGTGTGCCAGGACCGCTTGTCCAGCTCACTGTTACTAACATTCAGATACCAGTGACCTGCATATCTCAGAACAGGTTTTGTTTACTATCCAGCCTCTCAAAAATAAATGGGTGAATAAAAAACAAAATGAGAATATATCCACAGCAATGTGTTAAAGATAATTGCATTTACATTGAATAACCCCCCTATCAAGTATAAGCTGAGGAGCTAAGCTGTGTGAGGTGTTCCTTAGATGTTGGGGTAAATTTTTTTTAAAGGTTGCTTGTCTTCTTTCCTACATCAGATTTTCATTACATGCTATTCACTGAAGTCACCTCTCTCCCTGTAGCCACCAGGAAGTTGCCTGTCCTTATGGTTGGGTATCTTTTCAATGACTTCAGAAGCAACCTGGCAACAAGCATTGCCTGGACATCCCCTCCACTCACTGTGACTCCAATTACAGTAGTCATGTTTGTTCATTTTGTATCCTCACTGCTCTTTAAATAAATAGTGATGGGACGGAGAGCGAGGAGTGAACAGGATGCTGGGGGCTGAGAAGTTTGGAAACATAAATAAGGCACTGCAAAGTTCTCAGTACAGAGGCTGTTGCCTTTCCATAGTTACTGAATTTCCCCGTCACTCACCATTGCATGATTCAACCATTCTGGAAAGATACCATCTAGGGCCTTAGGGTAAACGAGCTCCCGATCGTAGAGAAAGAGGATCCAGAATGACAAAAATACAAACTGGAAAATAGAACACCAAAATAGCATCATTAAGTTCGTTGTCAGTCGGAGCTTTCTAAGTTAACCAAGGAAACATGGTGAAATAAGAATAGACAACAGTTTTAAAGATATCTTGCAGACACATGATAGAAACATAAAATGAAGACAAAATTCTTCACTGCTGAATTTCTAGGTCCACTCTGGGGATTCCTGAGGGTTGGGGATCAATTCTTTGTCATCGTAGCAGACAGGGAGGGTATAGATAAACAGGATTCACAGGCTCTTAAGTCATTTTATTTTAAGCAATGACCTCTCTTGTCTAAGCTTTCATCAGGAATATTGAGAGCAGCCACAAAGAGTGGTTTGAGTCTTACACTTTCCTCGTCTATTTAAGTTTGAAGGTTCCATACTAGAGGATGCAGAACAAGGGCAGGTGGAAGGAGGCAGTCATTTCTAAGCATAGATGCTGCTCGGTGGCCAACAGGCTTGATCTCAGTTTGTTTCTATTCCAGCAGATGAATGAAAACAGGAGCCATGTCATCGACACGCGGACAGTATCAACAGATCTGCTCACTGTCACTGGCATATGCTGTACTTCTTTCCAGGGTCCATTCATTCAATGAAATGAATGAGGCTCTCACTGCGCACCCCACATGAGATATTTTGGACAGACTGTCTCACTCTCTCCCCAATTGTCTTTTCCACGCACCAACTCTGAAGTTCTCATACCCTTTCTTTTTTTTTTTTTTACGGTTTCCACTTGCAGAAGTAACATATGCTCATTGTAGCAAGTGAAACAAGATGTATAAAAGGGAAAATGAGTCATCCATCTCCCAGCACCCTGCATTCCCGGTACTCCGACGGAGCCAAGGTTATCTTAGTTGTAGTTTGATTAAGAAAGAGCCTTCAAACTTCCCCATTAGACATCAACAAGGATCTTGTATCAAACATTCACAAAGATAAGAAGGCAGTGTTAACTCTGGTCAGTAATGAGCCCAATTTTCTGATGACACTGGGCAACACGGTACAGTTCTCAGACATGACATTCATGCAAACGCAGTTGCTCTGGTTTGTAATAATGGATGCCCGAACAGCTTTACTGCCCAGGAGAAGGGTTGTTCATCCGAGTCTACCTGGGTATTATATTACGAACATATCTTTGTAACTTACTGTGGATATCGGAAAAGCCAGTGTGGTAAAAAGCAGGTCTCTGAAGGCAGTCACGAACTTAATGTCTTTTTCCACTTTAATTCTTTTTAGCACATCTTCCACGCAGGCGACCCCATAGAAAACGGCCTGCAAGAGCTAAATTCATTACACCAAATGAGGGCATTTTCATTTGCTTTAATTAATACATTCTTCACTGACGTAAGGCTCCATCCCTCTGGGAGCAATGTTGATTTGAGAAGGAGGGGGCTGTTGGCTGTTTTGGTTGAGAGCCAGTTCAAAGGCTGGTCTTCCAGCTCAGTGGGCCCTGACCTTGCTTGCTAAAACTGATTGAGTAAAGTCGTTTAGGGGATAATAATGTGTACAGTATTTAGTGTAATGGACTTGAGCTAAAATGGAAACAAAATAAAGAGTCAGCTTAAAAGGAGAATGTAATGAGATAGATACCTTAGCTGCACAGAGGTGGGCAAAACCAAATCAACAACACGAGGGCAAAGAGCCAGACACAATGGTGGGCATATTCTGGCCTCTTCCCAGAAGAAAAAAAAAAAATTTAAATGCCTAGTGCTACAATCATATTAAAGAAGCCAGAATCAGGGTCAAGAACACCACGAAGGAGCTCTGTGCTCTCATGAGGGAGAGGCGCAAAATGGCATCTTGCTTATCTGAGGGAGAAGCTGATATCCTTCTCTGATTGAAAGGGAGTGCCTGAAGGCCTTACAAAGGAAATCTGCCTAAGGGAGTGACTTAAATCCCCAAGGGTAGAGCAAGCCAGGGTCTCTGGTACTCACTGAATACCACGAGGTCGCTGAGGCTAGGTGAAGGAGAAGGACAGCCTTCTTCAGAGAAGTAAGACCAGATAAGGGCAAACTTTGCCCATTCTTACTGTTTGGCACAAACCTATGGCTCCTGATTTAAGGTCTCATGGGTCGCAATACAGAGTTGGGGGTGGTTTTGAGTTATGCTTGCTTTAGACCCCATCCTATTCCTTAAAAGCACTGGGTTGGTACAAAAAGGGAGGTCTGGACTCCTCTCTGAAAGTATGAGTCAGGCAAGGTCTGGACCCCAGGGCATTGTACTCTGGATGGATCGATGCTGTTAGGGAATGAACTCTGAGGTCTGAACTCTAGGAAAGTTCTAGCAGAGTTGACCTCCTGTCACCCTTTGGCCTAAAGGAGGAGGTGGGAGAGGATACAGAGGTGAATTAGGCCAGAGATATGCCAGGCTGGGTCCTCAGGCCAGCAGCACTGATGTCACCCGAAAACTTGTGAGAAATGCAGACCTCAGCCCCACCCCAGTCTATGGAGTCAGAATCCCTGGGAGTAGGGTCCAGGAACTCATTAGCAAACTCTCCAGGTGATCCTTATATGTGCTAAAGTTCTGGAAACACTCACTGGGTTAGACATAAATTTATCACTTACAAATCCTACTGACTCCTCAAAGCTATAATAGAAGACTTTCACTGATGTTATGTGTGAGGCACTGATCAAGGCTTTTAATTTCTCATAATAACCTAATGAGGTAAGTCCTATTATTAATGCTCTCTCCCAACCCATTTTACACATGAGGAAACTGAGGCATAGAGGCATGAACAAACTTGCCCTAAGTCTCACGGTTGATAAATGGGGATTTGAAACCCAGAGTCTGGTTCTTGAGTCAGACTTTTTAAAAAAGGTTTCTAAGAACAGTTTAGGTTAAAGCACTATCAGAGGTCAGAAGAAAGACAATTATCTCCAGGTGGAAGAATTAAAAATGACTTTGAAAAATACTGATGTCTGATTTCCACCCTATTCCCTCAGAGATTCTCATTTTCTGGGGTTGTTGCCTAGGCTTCAGGATTTTTAAAAAGTCTCCCAAGTGATTCTAATTAGGACAGATAAGGTTGAGAACCACTTGCCTAGAAGAATTTCCATTTGGACATTTGGATTTGGCCTTCCCAAGAGGGGTGGGATGGAAGGGGGAGGGAGAGAGGAAGAGAGGGAGAGAGATGGAAAGCAAATGCTGGGGCAATGGCCTCATGGCACAGGGGCCAGAGGGTCACCAAAGTAGCAAAGAATGACCTGATGGTAGAAGACAGAACATATAGGAGCCCCATGGTCCCAGAAGGGAGGAGGAAACTTTGAGCCAGAAGGGTGGTTCCAGGGAGGGGTGGGAAACAGTTTCAATGTCATAAACCGGTGGCCACCCCAATACTCGTCATCTACTTTTGACATTCAACCCTCAGGCTGTAGAATTTGGAGCACATGCATGTTAGAGGAAGTCGCCTCCTCCACCCCTCCCCACGCCCACCCTTCCAGCAGCCCTCACCTCACCCCTGGTTTCACTTCCAGCTGTTTAGGCCACAGCAGGCAGCTGCTTTAGTAAGGAAGGGCAGGCATGGGGCCTGGGCCCTGGTGAAGAGGCCCACACTCTTCTATCAACATAACAATTAATCACGTACTGAGCTCGGAGAGTCTGCCAGGTTTTCTGTTTGGAGAGAGGCCGCCTCCACCCAGCATGTGAGGTCCATGTGACCGCTTTCCTTAGCAAGAGCGTCCTAGAGTCCCCATGAGTCAAGCTGGTCCGAACCCGCTCTTGCTTTCCCAGTCAAAAATGTGGAAATTGGATTGGGGGAAAAGAACGCATTACTCAGAGCCTCCCTGGCTTCTCCTTTATCAATAAAACTTTTCTCCCAGCCGCAAACTCGCCAATCGCTTCTCCACCTCCATCCCCCAGCTCCCATATATATGCCACACTGTGATGGTGCCAGCTGCGTGCGTACAGCAGCCTTGTGGCCACCGATCTTCATCTGCATTGGCATATGCCATCGTCTGTATCAACAAGGAATATTTGTGGAGCCCTCGCAAAGGAGCTTGGGAGAGAGAGGCTAAGATGTTGCTAACAGAAATGAATAAGCCAGAAGAGCACAGAGAGGAGCCAGCTGAGCTGGAGGGTGAGGAGAGGGAGGCGCCACAAGCTCATTCAATGGGGAGACTTCTTGGTGGCCCTCAAGAACAGGCCTCGATCTGCTCACCCAACGCGACAAGGGTCTGCTCAGTCCCTAAGGACAATACTATGAGATGGTTATCAAACAAGTATAGAAAGAACAGTCAAGGGAGAACATGGTAGCTATTAGGGACTGAATGATGTCCCCCCCCCACTCAAATTCATGTTGAAGTTACAGCCCTCAGTACCTCAGGAAGTGGCTGTATTTGGAGATACGGTCTTGACAGAAATAAGCCATCTAAAATGAGGACACTAAGGGTGAGTCCTAATCCAATATGACTGATGTGGTTCCAAGAGGAGACTAGGACACAGTCGACAGCCAGAGTGAGGCATGGCTGAGTGAAGACACAGGGAGAAGATGGGCCGGTGTCAGCGGGCTGAGAAAGGGGCCTCAGGAAAAACCACCACTGCTGATACCTTGATCTTGGACTTTTAGTCTCTGGAACTGGGAGAAGATAAATTTCTGCTGTTTAAGCCACCAGCCTGGGGTACTTTGTTATGGCGGTCAGAACAGGCCAACACAGGAGCATTAAAACAAGGTAGCGATGATGGACCTTCTTTTAAGAATCTTACAGCGAAATCACTGTCATTTACGCTTTTTTTTTTTTAATTTTAATGTTTATTTTTGAGAGAGACAGCAAGGGAGGGGCAGAGAGAGAGAGGGAGACAGAGAATTGGAAGCAGGCTCCAAGCGCCAAGCTATCAGCATAGAGCCCAACACAGGGCTCCAACTCACAGACCGGGAGATCATGACCTGAGCTAAAGTCAGACGCTTAATCCACTGAGCCACCCAGATGCCCTACTGTCATTTACATTTCTCAACTGTTTTGGCCACCCAGGAAGGCAAAGCTAATGGTATCTTCTGACCAGGGTTTACCTCAGAGGTACTGCTCTGTGATTTATCTTTTTGACCAGTTCTCTAAGTCTCTTTGTTCTTTGTGCCTTTTTTCTGAAATGTTGCAGGTCTAAGTTTGTTAGCTGGCTTCTTTTTTTTTTTTTCTGCTAGCTAACAAATTTACCACCTGGGAAGGCTGAATTACATTTTTTATAACTAGTGCAATTTAAGAAACCATAGCTAGAGGAGATTTCGTTTTTATATTCATGTGCCTTCACAAAATTCACAAAAATCTTGAAATTATGGAAACTGAGCCTTTCTAAGTCATTAAGTTCATTTCTTTGCCTTTAAGTCAGAACCGTCTTCAACTATCTCAGGAAATGAGAATTTCCTCTATTTAAAAAAATAATTCCAGAGAGGGAGATTCCACAAGTTTTTCTGAACCAGACATTACAACGCTCATTGGATGAGTCAAGTCATCCAACGCCCAGCCCAGCTCTGTGCCTGACTTGAACGGGCTGGGACTTTCTTAGGTCTCGCCTTCCAAATGATGCAAGACTTAACAGTGGGAGACTATTCCAGAATAAAACAGCAAGTGGGGTCTAACTGTGGTGAGTATTTTCTATAACTGCGGTGATGAGCGTAGTAGTGTTTGGGGACAGGTAGAAGAAGCCTTAGCTAAAGTATATCTGTAGTATACACAACAATACACTGTTTCAAACATCGTTCGTATGCAGTTAGCTTCAGCAAAACACTAAGAGAAGAGAATGAGATAAGAAAAAAAGACATAGGAGAAATGAAGAATATCAGCTGTCAACAAGAGGGGAAAAACAAGAGAAGAAACCAAGAGCACTGGTGGGCGGGTTAGAAGAATTCTAAGAATGCCGAGTCAGTGTTGCACACTGATGATAACTGGGTTCAGAGAAACAGTGGGATGGATGTGGAGGGACTACCTTAAAGGTGGGGTGGGGGGCCCTAGAGAGTGAGTCTTACCAGTTAGACCCATGCTCTGGTCATCTATTCATGCCACCAACATTCACAGAGAGCCTGTTAGGTGCCATATCCTGTATTCGATGTAGTACAAGCCAGGGCAGGCCCTGTGCTAATGTGTCATTATTAGGAAGAAGCAGAGAGGAGGAGTCTTTCCTGTACATTTTCTATTTTACATTATGTAGGTCAGTTTCCCTGGGAAAGGAGCAGATGCTTAGATCTGCCAGCAGAGTGTTCATTGAGGGGTACCCCCAGAACAACTGTGCGTGGGAGGGAAGAGGGGGGACAGCAGGATTGAGCAACAAAAGAGGAAGAGCAGTGCATTGGC